GGCTGGCTCCGGCAAGTTTAGATCAGATCAGGTCAGTAATGACAGATAAGGGATTGTAGACCTGTATTTAGGATGGAATACTAGGGACAAGAATTTTCATAAATAATGTACAGAGTATAATTGTAATATCTTGACATCCTTGTATCACTATCATCAAAAAGAGAAACTTAAAATTCCAGGGTTTAGAAACTCTCATTCTTCCAAATTTTTTCATTATCATTTATGATTTAGAATGTATATAATGGAGCTCTCTTATTGTGATTAAGTAGCTTCTACTGGACCTTACCCTCTCGTAGATAATAACCAAAAAATTAAAATAATCTGGAGACAGCTTGAAGGTGCTCCCACTGGTCAAAGATGGAACTATTTGAGTCTCTACAATAATGACATAAGACAATGAATCAAAACCCATCACATGTGTTTAAATCCATGAGTTGATCACTCATGGATTTAAGTATAAATAAAGTGATAAGTAGTAAATAAAGACATAGTATCAAACCTTCATTCTATCTTTCCTAAAAGAATTGTTCCATTGAGCAACCAAATAGATAAAGGAGAGAATCTTTTTATTAATGTATTTAACCTGATAAACAGAAAAGAAAAAGAAAAATAAGACATCATCATTTTTCAACCCTGGTGAATATACACATACACACACATACACATACACACACACATATATATATATATGCATTATTAAGCATCCATGGTTGCTAACATCATATGACGGAGAAACACAGTCTATTCTCCTAACTAGAATGATCCCTTTAGTGTAAGTCAGATCATGTCCTATCTCTTGTAAATATCCACAATAGCTCCCCGTTTTACTAAGAGTGAAATTCAACAACCTTACAAATGCCTACAAGGACCTGTGAGAACTGTTATTGAATCAGCTCCTTATCTCATTTCCCTTTGTTGAATGCGCTTCTGTTACAGTGATTTCCTTCCTGTTCTTCTGACACTCAAAGTGTCACTTCAGGGCCTTTGCATTGTCTATTCCTTCTGCTTGAGTGCTCTCTTCCCCGCTAATTTCCTCACCTCTCTCAAGTGTTTGCACAAAATTTACGAACGAGGGCTCTGAAACCATCCCATTGGAAAATACGTCCCTCCCTTCTCCCCATCCTGCATCAGCACACCTGCTCTGACCCTGCTGTATATGGTTTTGAAGCTCTAGCTACTACTAATAAGCATTATTATATTGTTATGCATTGAATTGTATTCCCTGCAAAAAAAAAAATTGAAATCTTAATGCCCAGGAACTCAGAATGTCACTTAATTTGAAAGTAGGGTCATGGAAGATATAACTAGGTTAATTAAGATGAGGTTCTATTGGAGTATGGGTGTAGAGGTGGGCAATATGCCTGGTGTCCCTATAAGAAGATGGACATTTGAACACGGAGACACAAGAAGAACATCATGTGACAGCAAAGGCACGTGATTGGAGTGATACAGCTGAAAGGAACACCAGAGACTGCTGGTCAACCACAGAGGCGAGGGATAGACAAGGAAGGTTCCCCTGCAGGTTTCAGAAGGAGTGTGACCCCGCAGACACATTGATTTCAGACTTCTAGCCTTTAGAACTGTGAGACAATAAATTTATGTTGTTTCAAGCCATCCAGCTTGCGGTACTTTCTAATAGTAGCCTTAGGAGACATTACATATATATCTGTACACTCCATCATTACTACATAGCTCACTTTTCATTGTTCTTATTGATTATTGCTCGTTCACCTCGTGCCACTGATCTCCCACCTCCCAGAAAGCAAACACCAAATGAGCAGGGATCTTTTCAGCTTATTTTGTTCGCTAATATATCCCAATCACCCAGAAGAGTTCCTGGTACACAGTAGATATTCAACAAATATCTGTGGACTAAAATAATCCTAAATAAAATAAAATAAAATAATCCTTATATGCATTTATTTATCATTTAATTATTTTAGTTGCTCTTTGTGCTTTCCTAGGCTTTCTTTTTTAATTTTTTTCCATCTAGTATTTTATTATTCAAAGTAATAGTCAACATAGCTAGCAGAATAATTTAAATAATCATTAAAACTCAATTTAACATCTCTTCCTGAATTAAATATTTTAAAATAATTGTGAAAAAGGAATGAGATTGACTGTTTATAATTTCATCTCTATTTATTTCCCCTAGCCATGCTTTTCTGGAGGTGGTATTGAACAAGTAATCAAGTCAGACGCCAGAAAAGAATACAAAAAGTTGGATAATCAGCCCTTGAGCAATGGATAGTTGAATGAACATAAATTGTTTATGTCACTAAGCAAATCTCCATGGAAGAAATTATTATTTATAATAATCTTCTAAAACCAATAATCCCAATCTTAATGACTTCTATCCACCAACCCATCCAAACCTCTCAACTTCCTATTATTAAGAACATTCACTCATTTCTGGTTAGGAAAGATAAATTGCTTCCTTTGAGTTCAATAGTTTAAGAGCCCCAAATTAGTTTATCCAGGTTAACTAAACTCATCTATCAACAACCATAAAATCTGTGAAGTTGGACAGTTATTGCACATGTGCAATTGTAAGTTACTCTGACAGGATAAAATATCTCCTTATGCATTTATATTGCCCCTTATCAATGAGTTTTCTCCCCCTCCAGCCACTAACATTGAACCTTAAAATTGATGGCCCTAGTGAAAGTGCAAATGCCTATTGCTTTTAAATGAGAGGTCAGTCTTCAGCTTACACTTATTTTTCTTTCTTTTTATAATTTTTATTTTGTCCATGGTGAGACAAAGAGGAAGAGAAAGAGGGAAAAGGTTTTAATAACAAAAAATCCCCAAAAGCTTCCCTTTCCAAAAGCAAACCTTGATGTTGTGAAGATAGTTTTACTATATAAGCCACAGTGCAGAGCACAGGTAGAAGGAGAAGCCTTAGAATAAAAAGGAGAGGGGGAAAAAAAAGAGAGAAAAGCAAAATTACCCAAGTTTTTGTTGTTTTTTTTTTTACTTTTTCTATCTGCTATAACATAAAAACTTGGGAAAGACACTCATATAGCACCAGATAGATTAGAGGGGAGCTAAAAACTAAGGGGGCTTGTGACCAGACTTAATCTAAAGGTCTAAAACAGGATTGACACTGGGCACAGTGGCTGACACCTATAATATCAGCAGTTTAGGGGGCCAAGACGGGAGGATTGCTTGAGGCCAGTAGTTTGAGACCAGTCTGGGCAAGTGAAATCCTGTCTCTGTGAAAAATATTTTAAAAATATAGCTGGGTATGGTGGTGCACACCTGTAGTCCCAGCTACTTGGGAGGCTGAGGCAGGAGGATCACTTTAGCCCAAGAGTTAGAAGTAGCAGGAAGTTATGATCATGCTACTGCACTCCAGCCTGGGCAACAGAGTGAGACCCTGATTCAAAAACAATAAAAAAGAACAGAGAAAGAGAGTGCTATTGTATCAACATGAGGTAGACACAACAGAGTAGATAGTGTAGATACTGGGCAGAGAGAAGGCTTGAGTAAACCCAAGCTGCCTGTCTCAATTCTTTGTTCCCTATGTGTGGAGTAGAGTTTCATAAGCTCCTGCTGTGATGAATGCAAAGTTCCCCAGTAGTTCCCAGAGTTGGCAAAGGGCAATGCTGCTCACTGCATAGCAAGACTCCACAGAGTTAGACAGCCTAAGCTTGGAACAAATGGGAGGTCTGAGGACGTGGCTGAGAACCAATCAATGAGACTTTAAGTCAATGAGAGGGTAAGTCCTGCTGTCAGCAGAGGTGGGGGATTCTGGGGCTGGACCCTTTGGTCTTAACCTTGCTAAGAACAAACTATACATTATACAGCAGAGGCAGACGCAGATATAACATGGAGACCAGGAAAGATCATTACTTCTCAGTGGGAGTTCAGTAGGAGCCAGCAGGGGCACTTTGTGTACATATTTTCCTTAGGGCATGAGATCACAACCATTTCCTTTGTGTAGGAAAAGGGAGAGGGCAGAAAGCAAGCCCCCATAAATTTTATACTTTTATGGATTAAATATTTACCAGGTTTAATACTTGCAAACTTAAAGGCTTTTCGTTTGTTTTGTTGTTTTCCCTTATTATGAACAGGAATCAATGCAGGGGAATGTTTAAATCAGTTATAGGAATGATATTTTGCATATCTGAGCCTTAAGTGCAAACGCTCAATTGTTTTCAGAGACTTATTAGTTCTTTAAAAAACTGGCTAAAACAAACAAAAAGTTCTAATAATTGAGAAAAATTGATCACAATTTAGTAAGATAGCATATGAGACTTCAGTATTGAAATAGCATAAAGTATATTAATCATTCTACATTGCGACCAAAAAAATTAACTTTATTATGTGTGCACATTTTAATATTCTGTGAAATTATTTAATAACTGGAAATACGGATACCATTTACACTTCATGTTTTATAAAAAGTGTATATGAAAATAACCTTCATTTGGTAGTGTTTAATTAATTCCATTTATGGCTGCTGGAAAGTTTCATGTGAGGCACACTCTTTTTGGCTGGATGAAGTGTTAACTTGATCATCTCATTTTCTTCCAGTTGGTATTCTTTGTTGGAGGCAGCTTATACTCCTGCAGGCACTGTAGGCGTTACAGTTTAATATTGTGGTGTAAGTGTAGAAATTATTTAAGACCTATTCTTATTTGGTTAAGAATAATTAATTTAATTGTGTATTACTAGGAGAGTGGAGTTACAATGACAATTTGACCAATTCCCAATAATAGGAGATGGGCATTTTCCTGTAGGAATTTCAAAACTGTACTCAATGTTAAATTATAATCATAATTTGGGCATACCTCTGTCATTTAGTTATGATTTTCTGGGCATACTAAATGTTTTCTGTATTTTCAAAATAGAAAAATTAAGAAGCTCCTGTGGAGTAGAAACGAAGACAGATAGATAATAGAAATTTCTTAAATTTGAAATTAAATATTCTCAAAGAAAATATTTTTTCTTATTGTTATATTCTTGGACAAAAATACTGAGTTGGTTAAATATAACTTTTATTTTAAGCAAAAAATACAATTCATTTGTTACAAGACAACATGAAATAGAAGATAATACTATCTTTAAAAATAAAGCTAGAGATTAGATTGACACTGATTCTACAATTAAATAAATTAATCATATTAAAATTATCTTCCATATATTATGAACTGACATTCAAATCCTGAACTCTTTCACATAAATTGAATTCCATATATTAACAAAATTTCTATTTATTATACAGACATAGTTATCACGAATATATCTTAGATGACTCCAATATTTTTTCTTTTCTTGGTAAACAGTGAGAACTATGACATATGAATACAGTGTATAAGGGACATTAAGTCAGCTTTAATTCCATTATTAAGAAATCCATACAGAATTGGATTAAGACAACAGGACATCATGCCCAACAAATGACAAATGCAGTACACCAACTTGAAATGCCTATTTGAAATAAGGTTATCATTAAAGTCAGTTACCACATGGAAAAGGTGTAGTGGCATCCAACTAACAGCAAACACTAATATCAATATGGTGAGCCTATAGAAAACACTTCGAGATCTCTTTTTTATTCTTGTGACAGAACGTTTTACTCTCATTTCATGAGCATCTGAGTTTTCTTCAGGTTTCATCTCAAAGCAAATGGGGACCCCTGGTATGAACTTACTGGATGAAGAGGGTTGACTTTTCCCAGAGCCAAAGTTTTCTGGAAGTGTTCTCAAATGGTTCTCTTGAGCAGGTCTTACTGGAGCAGGTAATACACATGCCGTCTTCTTGCTGTATCTTCTTCTGTGCTTTCTGATGAATGAATAACTCCATTTATGGCTGCTGGAGAGTTTCACCTGAGGTCCACTTTTTTTGGAGGGATGCAGAGTTAAGTTGATCATCTCCTTTTCTTCAAGTTTGTTTTCTTTGTTGGACAATCCGCAGCTTACACTCCTGCAGACACTGGTATGACTTACAGTTAGACAAACTAAGGGCAAAATATACTGAACCAGCAACAAAGAGATAGTAAAGGCAATTCTGTATGAATCAGATGGCCATGATTCAACACATAAATACCTGCTGCTCAGCAACGCTGAACCAAATGTTTCCTGAAGTTCTACAAGACTGTGAAACACAGGAAGTGGAGAACAAATTGCAAAACCTAGTGTCCAGACAGTAGCTATCAGAAAGTAGCCATGATTTGCTGTTAAATTATTAGATATAGGATGTTTTATCATATGATACCTGACAATGGCAATTGATATTAAAATTAAAGTTGAAACCAAAACTGACACACATTGAAGGAAAGGCATAATATGGCACATGACTTTGCCAAACATCCACTGATCCAGCAAGACAGAAGTCAGTGTGAAAGGTGAGCAAAATAGCACAACCAAGATATCAGAAAAAGCCAGATTTCCTATGAGGAAATTTACTGTAGTCTTCTGATTACGCTTTTTCATGAGAGCCATTAAAATAAGTAGATTCCCCATAAAACCAAGAAGACTTACAAATGTATAGAGTCCAATCAGAAAATACTGTAAGTCATCTACACTGCTTTTATAGTCATCCCAGACTGGAAAATCAGAATTCCGAGTGGCAGTAGTATCATTCTCTGCAGAAAGTGTCTTGTTATAATACTCCTTGAGCTCTAAATCCATATTATAGTCCTGCTTGAGATAAAAAGACATTTGTTAGCAATGTGAAAAAAATTGCACTACCATTTTAATCTATTCAGAGGGAAACTAAATCTTATAATTAGTTCCCATCACCTTTTTAATCATCTAAGAAAGTTTGTGAGGTCTTTAGTTGGTTCCAAATGCAGTGCAAATATCAGCCAATGACAATTATAGTCGGTTTAATTCTATAACTTCTGTGTTGAATTAACTTGTGTTAAAGTAGCTGATCTTATTTTTTAAATTTCTGGGGTGGGTAAATAATGTGAAGAAAGGAAAAGGCAAATGTCGATAAGAACATCAAGATACATAATTTATAATAGCTCATTAATATTATTTTCTAGTCAAGATACCTGGTACATAGTGTAGTCACGTAAACTTACCTTAAGAATTCCTTCCATTTCTACCTGAAACAAGGCAAATTTAAAAGTCATCTGTCCTCAAGGGTTCCCTGGTCAACTCAATTGGATGTGATCCCCTTTCCAGAACTCCCATAATGCTTTGTTTATAGTTGCCTGACGCTACAAGTCACAATCTGCTTTTATTGCAATTATAATGTCTACCTATGTACCTTATTTATTAGCAATGGAAAAGGAGAAACTGTCTCTTACTCACAGTGGTATCCATCACTATACATGACATAGTAACTTCACTACAGCTGTTAAATAAATATTTATGAGAGAATACAAAATTTGAACAAAAACTTAGAGAACTAAATATAATCTAGTTTAGATAGTGTTCAAAATCTAAGCTCCTCAAGTGTAGAACACTACACCAGGACATAGGTGTATGTACTAGGCACTCAATAAATGTTTATCAAGCTGTATCGTTGATTATATAGACATATGCTGGATGACAAAATCATTCCATGATCAGTTCTCCGTCTTGTGAGATGTGCCAGATTATCATGGATTAGGACAACCACTGAATGGCCAGCAGTGCTTGCTGTTGGTGTTTTTAAAGATAAAATTCACCTGTTTATTTTTCAATTCATAAGTTGTATATATGCTTCAGCTAAAAAAAGAGTTAATGAATTTGAAAACATTGCATCTCAAAATTAAATGTAGAAGTGATACTAATATAATTCCTCAAAATAAGTTTTTTTCATTTCAAATTAAATTAATGCCACACCACAATACCACTACTTATTTGCCTCTACATATTAGAGATTTGATGGTACTGCCAGATGAAGCACTAAAGTGCCTACAACTGCAGTCCCAAACCTCCGGACCACAGACAGGTATCAGTCCATGGCCTGTAAGGAACTGGGCTGCACAGCAGGAGGTGAGCAGTGGGCTAGCAAGCCAAGCGTCATCTGTATTTATATCTACTCCCCAAGACTTGCATCACCACCTGAGCTCCGCCTCTGGTCAGATCAGCGGCAGCGTTAGATTATCATAGGAGCATGAAGCCTGCTGTAAACTGCACATGCGAGGGATCTAGGTTGCGTGATCCTTATGAGAATCTAATGCCTGATGATCTGAGGTGGAGCTGAGGCGGTGATGCTAGTGCTGGGGAGCAGCTGCAAATACAGATTCCAATTAGCAGAGAAGTTTGACTATACAATAAATGTAACGCACTTGAATCATACAGAGATCACCCCCCCACCAGTCCATGGGAAAATTGTCTTCCATGAAATCAGTCCCTGGTGCCAAAAAGGTTGAGGACAGCTGGCTTATAACATATCAAGAAGAGGAGACAAAGGAACCCCTCCTCCTCTTAGAAAAAATAAGCACTTTTATTTTTTTTAACAAGAATTTCCTACGGAAAACTCAAGACAGTAATAGTTAATTAATTCTGATGAATATACATTGTTAGAGAGATCTTGATATATATGTAGCTAAAAAAACACTTTTACTATATATCGATATACATTTTCTACTTATTCTAGACATATAGTTAAATAATTATACTCAAAGCTGTAAAATACATAAGTATTTAAATTAATAGAAAACACTACTATCTTCAATATATGAGGAACTTACAGGTCCTGGTCCAATAAATTTCCAAATAGGAAATCCTATTGTGTACACACATTCATTATATATAAGTTTAACTTCAGTTTTATATAGAGCAAGTTTCAAAAAGGATGATGTAATCATCACTGTGCTATGAGGAACGTTGAAAGTTTCTCACAATTTCTACAATTGATTCTATGTAGACTGAATTACTTTCTGGAAGCTAATTAAATCCTTTTAAACATAAATTATTTCAAAAGCTCAGGATCATATTCATTCATTCTTAGATCCTAACCAACAATTTACCTTGGCAGGCGTGGTGGCTCACGCCTGTAATCCTAGCACTCTGGGAGGCCGAGGCAGGAGGATAGCTTGAGGTCAGGAGTTTGAGACCAGCCAGAGTAAGAGTGAGACCCCATCTCTACTAAAAATAGAAAAAATTAGCCAGCCAATTAAAAATAGAAATAAAAAATTAGCTGCTCATGATGGTGAGCTCTTGTAGTCCCAGCTACTCAAGAGGCTGAGACAGGAGGATCACCTGAGCCCAGGAGTTTAAGGTTGTTGTGTGCTAGGACTGATGCCACAGCACTCTAGCCTTGGCAACAGAGCAAGACTCTGTCTCAAAAAAAACACACACAAAAGAACAACAACAAAAAAACCAATTTATCTTGATATTGCCTCAAGTGAAAAAGAATAACTGGTACAAAAGTGACTCACATGGCGTACTGAATCATCTTATTCATCATATTACCAGTAAATAGCTTCCCAGGAACTACCCTGTATAGGTCAGTGAGCTTCTAATCAAAGCAGCTTTGACTGATGTTTCTGCCTAATTTCCTGAGTTCTGATAACCCCCTGGCTGGATCTAGCTTGTTCATGGCCCTGTTTATATCTATAACATGTATAGGCCATTTGTCACTATAATCCTGCTTAGTTGTTCTTTTGATTCACTTTCTCAAATCAATCCTTTACTCCTAACTTTGTGGTAAGTCAGATGTTGCCTTTTATTCTACTACCAAGGCAAGGACAAGAAAGAAATTAGCTCCTTCTACAATGCTCTGTGCTTTCTTAGGTTATGTAACTGTGGATGACACTTATCTAAGAGTAAAATTGCTATCCAAAACTTGAAGAAAGAGGAAATGCAGCACAATTTGTAGTGATAGAAAAAATGTGGTTTTTAGTCTAACATTCAGATTTTCTAAAACATATATGTCCATACCTCTCTATTAGATTCTAGTGGAGTTAAGGGGAAAGTCTTAATTATTTTCATGGTAGTGATGATACTTAATAGAGTATATTATACATAGTGGATGCTAAGTTAATATTTGTTGCTAATCATTATAGAAAAATAGTTTAATTTCCACAGCTTCAGAATAACAGAAATGAATCATACTGGGAATATGAGCAAATTCAGGATAGAGTATGACTATATGTGTGTTTGTACACACATATATGTGCATATGCATGTTTATATACACATATATAGTGAATCACTGAAATTAGAGAAGCTTTAAATGGCCCTAAAATTAAATGAGGAGAAGACGCTCACATAGACAATGATAGCGTAGCACTTAAAAATTTTAATTTAATCTTCATTGATAAAGGCTATCACATAAGAAACATGAAATTAAAATTGCAAAAATATTTACAACATATGTTTTTATTTAAATGAAAAGTAGGTCTGCAGTTTGTTACTAAAACATTTCTATTTTAAATATGTGCACATAAATATTGACTTCATTAAATTATGAAAACCACTGTCTCCTTAGCAAGTAGATGAAGGAAATTCCATCCTGAGTATTCATTGGACACAGGAGAAAAACTGAGAACATTTCTTTCATTCCCTAAATCATGTGAGTATTTTAAGAAAGCAAATAATTTACAAATAATTTTAAAAGACAGAACCCTTTCATTAATAAATAGCTGAGAAAAGTAGTTGTTCCTTTATTCATTCAATAAGCATTTATTGAACATATAATATGCTAGGTGCTCTGTTCTACTCTGATGACATAAAGATGACTAATATAATACAAGGTACTATGCAAGGAATACCTATGAGGGATTAATTCGAAGTCATACAGTGAGTAACTACAGATTGAGATATAAAAGGCCTTAAATGGATAATGAATGAATGAATGAATGGCATTCTCCTAACTGCCAGTGATACACTCTTTCACTACAGCATGGACACTTGCACTGTTGCTGAATATAATGAATACTTATGTAGCTCTTCATACATCGATTAGTAAACTATCTTTTTATTCTCTCACCTAGCATTTATTCATTCATTCAACATTCATTTATTCATTTTATTTTGCTGTGACTGTAGTCAACTTTCTCCTGCTCTCCCTCTAGCCCCACCACACAAACACACACACACATGACCTAATATGGTACTCTGCACAAAATGAGCATTCTGTCAATCTTTGCTCCAATGAATAGTTTCTTCTCACAACTAAATAGTAGCTATTGCAAATGGAAAAGGGGGTGTGGACATGTTAAGCAGTTTTTGTAAAAGTGCCTCCTTGCAGCCAGGGAATAGTTTAAATATTAGGAGAATCTTGTCCAAAAAGATTTAGGTCTTCTGTTTTAAATTTGAAAATTTAAGGTAGAGTAACAACTCTGAAATGAAAAAAAAAAAAATGAAAAATTTATTTTTTTAAACTTACCCCTTCACTTCCTTTTTCCTGAAAAACACAATAAGCAAACCTACGCTGGAAATGTAAATGCTCAATAATTCTCTGCTATTCAACAGGTGCTACTATGAACACTGTACCATTTTATGTAATGTATTTATTATGTAGTTTATACATAATAAAAGTAATGACACATGAAGCTTATTTCAACTCAGATTACTAAGAAATTATGAAATATAGCCAAAGAAAGAATGTTTTAAAAATGGAATACTATTTGACAAGAAATCTGATCTGGACTGTGTGAAACTTTGTTGTACCTAATTACTATATTTTTTTCTTTTATTTTGTATGTAATTGTATCTCCCAACACCTGATTTCCAGGCTGAGACAATGAACTTTAATTCTCTGAGAAAAAAGTGGAAAAAGAAAAGTTCTTCATTAAATTGTGGCCACTCTAATAAAGCAATGTGTCTGTAAATATTTATTGGAATTTTCTTATATTAGGTGTATATCTGACACCTAGACAAATGAAATCTTCTGGATAGAATTTAAGTATTTTAAGAAAGTAAATAATTCTTAAAAATAATAATAGGAGGCAATGCAGGGAACTCAAAGGGTACTGAGATACTGATACATATATTTAAACAAGGTTTCTTTGTTAGGATAATTTCCTAGCTCATGAAAATGTACATCACTCTTCTCACAAAAGATGCCAATCACACAAAAGAATAAAATACGTGTAATTCTTTTCTCTAGCAATGATAAATTATCAATTATAATGATACTGGAACACAGGCGAGATTTCATGTTCCCAAATATTCCCACCATTTATACTTAAAGCCAGAATCCGGTAAAACCTGTATTTGAAAGATAAACAAAGCTCTGTTTAGCTGACAAACACACAAGATGCACCACCCTCCCTTCCCAGTTCTAAGCGAGAGTTTCTCTTCCCTTTCAGAAATCTGAAATCTAAATTGCATTCGGGCTGCAAAATTCTGCTGAAAGAGCCTTAGGCTGTTTCCATGGTCTATGTGGCAAAATCTTTTCAGCTTTGGTCCAACAAAATGCCTTAGTTCCTTTAGAAGATAAAAGGTTTGTAAACTTGAGAACAAGAATTCCAGTTTCTGGAATTCGAGTTCTACGGATGTATGTTATTGCTCCCATTTGTCACTTGAGGCCACCTTGCCAACAGGAGCGCAAACCTAGGGGCGCAGCCGCCTCCGGCCTCGGGTCCGCGGCGGGACCGCGCGACTCCGGACGCCTGGCTGGCGCCCGCGAGCTGCGCCCCGGGGCTCGCCGGAGACCCCTAGGTCTGGCCCGGACCGGCCTCCGCGCTCCCCGGGTCCCCAGGCTCGGACGCCGGCCGGGCTGCACCAGGGCTCGTCTGGCCGCGCGCGGCGCTTTGTCCACCCCCTCTCCCCGCTCCCGACGAGGCTCCAGCGCGGATCCCTTGGGGTTTCGGCCGCGCCCCTGTCCCCCCGGGTGAGTTGGGGACTGGAGGGACCTGCGCGGCACGGAAGAATTCAGCCAGTCCCTTCCCGCTTTCCCTGCACGCCTGACGATCGCCGGTTCCGCCAACCTAACCCCCATTTTTCCAGCCGCGCCTCCTCCGGCCTCCCCACCCTGCCCTCCCGGGAGCCCCGACAACCCGCCGGGACCCGAGACAGGGTGCGGGCTCCTGGAGCCCCGCGCTGCTCGCAGCCCGCGCGGGCGCCGCCACGGCCCCTCGGTCTGCCCGCCCGGCGCGGACGGGGGCGGCGGGGAGGGGCCGACGCCCGTACCTCGGGGCGTCCCGGCCGCTGCAGGCCCTCGGCTCCCAGGCACGCGTCCGCGGTCGCTCCTGCTCCCGAGGCGGCTGCGGCGGCAGAAGCCCGACCTGGAGGTGGCGGCGGGGAGGAGGTGGCGGCGGGGAGGAGCGGGCGGGGAGCCGCGGGGGCTTTAGACGCTTGCGGGGAACACGTGACTGCTCCGGGGACCCCCGAGACCCTGCTCCAGAGCGCGTGCTCCGCGCCAGCCTCTCCCAGAGCCCCGGCCGGAAGCATCCCAGGACCTACGCTGCAGTTTGGGGACCCTAGGGAGAAGCCGCAGGGCCCTAGGGTGTCTTCCCATCACCCTGGCCTCTGGTTCCAGGGTGACCAAGTTACCTCAACGGGCAAAACTTGATCCCGCCCCCAGCCCTGTGTGGCGACTGGAAGTTTTGAAGGGGTGTTGGGTGGGCTTCTCTCTAAGTGCTTAGGCTTCCTGACAAAAAGCCTCAAAGCTCTCTTTGTTCCCCCCAAAATAAAAAAAACAAACAGGACACTGCTCTTTCTTGCACCGTTTTGAGGTAAGAAGAACTCTAGGTGGGGAGGTTGACCTGGGCGTTCAGGGGGCGCGACGGAGTCTGTGGGGTTGCGCCCTGCAGAATAGGACAAGGGATTGATTCCCACTGTGAGAAGCAGTAGCTGACAGTGTGGGCAAGGGGCGTGGGCTGAGGAGTGTGGTTGAAAGGAAACTCTACTCAACAACTAAAAGATGACTAGGGGCTAAAAAGAGTTGTCATAGGTAATAAATAAATAAAAGGCAAAAATAAAAGGTCCCACGCCCCAAATACGAAAAAACCTGGCCTCTTGTTCCTCAACATAATTTGAGCCCTAATGTTTCCAAATCTATATTGCACAAGTTTGCCTTATTTTTAGCTAATCATTGCGTGGCAGGTACTTTAGGAGTGTCTGAGAGAAAGAGAGAGAAAGAGAGAGGGAGAGAGAGAGTGAAATTGTTTTTGGACATAGCTGTGCCATGAGAAAGGGTGCATTTATGGTACACTTCAAAACTGAGAAATATTATGTGGTAGTCACAACATCCTCTGAAGAGTGCAGTCTTGTGGGATTGGCGCTCTGTGAGCTCAAGAGGACTGTATCCCTTGGGAGCAGGGAGACTTGTAAATCTAACTTCTGGGGTAAGGATCACCAGCTATTACCCCAGAGGTCAGAGAAAAATTCTTGTGCCTCTTTTCTGCTGAATTTCAGCATTCAGTACTCAGGGGATCTGTTTAGAGTGTCATTTCATCAGCTAGAAAGTCATCCAAGAGATTTTAAATACTTTTTAGGTAAGTACAATTCTTATTTTATTTTTCTGTGTTTTATTTCTGAAATACTAACATATTCTCCCCAACAGCTTGGCACAGTTGGTAGTCTGAGCAGGCCCATAGGATTCCACAGTGAAGGAAAGGAGAGGTGGAAATGTCAAGAAGGGATGACCTTGAGAAAACAAGGCCTAGTTGGTAGACTTTCTTAACTCCATGATCCCTACAGTTAACACATTACCATTGCCACATAAATTTCTATCCTTCCATCCCTGGCAGAGGTCTTAACCTGTTTTCTTCAAATAGGCATTGTCTTTAAAACTACTTTCAAATGAACTCTACTGGGACTATCTTTTAAAATTTAGTCTATGCTACAGGCTTTTGCATATTAAAAATGCAAAATGAATTTTATTTTTTCTTTTCTATGAATTTTTTTTTCTTTTGATGATATGAACCTTTAGGTTGAAGTAACTGTTATTAGAATATTGAAAATAAAAGGTCAAGGGGATACTGAAATGAAGATTCTGATTATCCTACCCATTTTTCCTTCTTCTGAATCCACAAACATATAAGCCTCAAAATAGGAGGTCAGAATTTTTTCTTTAAGTACACATGACAATATAAAGGATTAAGGCTACATAGAGTGATCTCATTATTAAGAGTTCTTTGTTTTGAAAGAAGTTTCATTTGAAAATTTCAACAATGTGCTCCATAAAGAGAATATATAAAGATAAAAGTGCTTTTCCCTTCAACTTCCTAGGAAGGATTCTAAGACTGATCATCACCACTCTTTGTAGACCATAAGAGAGTAATTTTGTTTTTCTTTTATGGAGTAACATTCAAGCAGGGGTAGTACTATCTTTGGGAACAGAAATAGTAATGTCCACCTCTGTTTTATGTATTTTTCCTACTCATTATTTGTAAAATGCTCATTTGGGAAATTAAGTTGGATTTTATGCATGTTACAAAATTAAACTCGCTATTTCCCAGTTTTCATGGTTTGTTGTCAGTTATGAAATAAAGCTTATTTGTATAGGTGAAAGTTAAAGATCACTTGGGACTGCTAAGACAAATAATTGAGTAATAAACCACTCTCATAAAAATGCCTGGGGTAACATTTTGCTGAGGAACATGATTGTTGTCTTGTCAAAGTTATTGTTGCATTTTAATAACAGCTACCATTGGTGGAGGACAGTTACTGAAGTGCTTGGAAATAATCTCAAATGATATGTGATTTTGCTATATTAGGTTATAAGACCAGTGGGGTAAATAAACTAGAGAAAATAGTATTATGTTACTTTATGTATTTTTTTCTCTGAAAACTTTTATTGTATTCGCTGAAAGTAATGTTTCTTTATCCATTTTTTTCTATCATAGTAAATTTAAGTGCTAAATACTTAAAAGATGTGGAAAGGACCATTTCTGTACATTATCAAAAATATTTTTATGATATTCTCTGATGCATTGATTTCTCTGGAATAGTAATTGTTATTAATATATATATACCAATATCTAGGACTTAAAATGAGAAACTACTTTATTATTGTGACATGCATGCAATTTTTTTAATGAAACAAAAGCTATTTTTTTAAAAGTTAACCCAAAGTATTGTATGCATAGAGTCAATTTCCTAAGCAACTGAAGGATAATTTTGAGAACCTACAGGGATACCATAAACATTTCATTGGCTTCTTCTGGTAAACACTGTGCTCCTTAATCATCACCACTTCTGTTGATGCCTTAACCATTAGACCATTGAATATATAGTGATTGATATCTAGAGAGAATGTACAATTCTTCTTTAAAAGTAAATTCCTATGTTAAAAATACACATATATGTGATACATATGTGTATAGTTGTATGAGCACACATCACACACATATTTGTATAATAGACGCTATCAGAACACCTGTTGTGCAGTCAGGCTTTATGTCAAATTAATAGTGTGGCTTTAGACAATTCACTCAATATTTTAGTCTTTACTTTCTTTGTAAAATAAATGTTTGACTCTCAGATCTGGAACCCTCTTAGAGGTCTGAATACCTATGACTTTGTGTCATTAACGAGCATGGATTACAAACTTATGCATAAAAATAATCTTTTTGGATCATCAGAAAAATTTGATAATCATAGACATTGTGTACCCTCCATATTAAAAAAAAAAGAAATAAACACTATTGATAAAGTTTCCCATTGTTACTGGCAAATTCTTTTCCCTGCAGCTGGTAATAACTACATAATTATATTTCATTCTTTTCGAAAAGTAGGTGTCAAAAAATATACCAACAATTCATTGATTATCTAATTATATTATTTTTAAGTTTTGCAACACTATATATATATATATATATATATATATATATAGAGAGAGAGAGAGAGAGAGAGAGAGAGAGAGAGAGAGAGAGAGAACATGTATTCCTTTGGCCACATAATATTTTACATGTAAATCTGTTACATAGGCAACATAATCCTTTCCTTTTGTAGATCAAAACTCCTCTGAAAAATGGTTTTGATAAATATCCTCTCATATTTTTAAAAAATAAGTTTCCATTTCCTATCTGATTTTTTGTGGTTAATATTTTAAATCTAGTTATAAGTCTAAACATAGCTTTACTATATTTAAGTGGAAATGAAAGGGAAAGAGTTTATTTATTTTGGTGTGTTGGTTTGTTTCAAATAGTTCTTTTTAAAAAGAAGAATGTTTAGAGAACTGTTCAAAGTATAAGCCCGAATCAAAAGTTGTCATGGCTGAATAATGTGCTCTTCAAAAATGCTTGTTACTATATTCTTACTCTCATCATTCCCACAGGTAATTCAGCTTTTAAAAGTATGTTCTTCAGCAAGTAGAAAATAATATGACAGATCTCCTCTACTAGATATTATAAACCTTTTTAAAGGCAGGAGGCCATTATTCAAGTTTATACTTAATGAAGGAAGCAGAACCAACACATAAGAAAGTCTAAAAATATGAGAAAGATCTTCAAGAGAAGTATATTGTATTAATAAGCAAACCACATAAAATGTACATGCATACAAATAGAAATAACTCATTATAACTACAAATGCTGAGGACTTTTTAATGTTTGAGATGAACAAATGGGCATGATGTAGGACATTCAAAATTTTGGTAGTCTTATCCCATTTCTATTTTTTCACTCTTTCAACAAACTTCTTCAGTATCTTATGATACACCAGCTATCATTCTAGACACCAAGTTTAAAGAAGTGATAAAAAACAGTCACTATCTTCAAGAGCTCACAGTGTAGTAGATCTGGGCATATAGATAATTGATGGAAATACAATGGGTTACGTTCTATGTTAGAAATAAACCTAGTTTGCTATAGGAATAGAAATAAGAATGCAAACTCAGGCTGTGAGGGGAGTTGGAGAGACAGGGATATAAGAGAGGGCTTTATAGTTGAGAAGATACTTGAGCTGAAATATGAAGGGTTGGTGAGTTTTAAACAGGCAGATGGAGAGGACATGGGCATGAGAAGTGGGTCGGGAGCATGAAGTTGAGTGTCTGATGTTCACAGAAGTACAAATGGCTCAGTATTACCGCAGCGTGTAAGGTAGAGGATGATACTGAAAATGTTGGTTAAAAAGGACAATGTTGGCACTTTACTTAGGGATCAGGAGGGGGAGCAATTAGATGATTTAAGCTGGGGCATGACTTGATGGTTGCAGAAGCAGCTGGTGGCAGAGACCATTTAGCAAAGAAATAAGTAAAGCTTGCTAAAAGTGAAAGAACACATGTGAGAAATATTTAGGAGATAAAATCAGTGGGAATCTGGGGCCAGTTGGATTTGAGAACATGAGAGAGGGGAATACTTGGGACAGTTCCTAGGTTCTGGCTTGAGGGAGAAGGCTGATGCTGATGATGGAGACCAGGTCCATGAGCGGAGAAGCACGCTTGCGAAAAAACCCTGAGAGGGATTTGCACTTCGAATAGAGATTGGGGGTTATGAGCATACAAGGATTTAATCTATGGCAGAGGGTATGATTATGCATTAAAAATGAAAAAGAAAAGATTGAGATTGAGTTGTTCTAGTCAATTCGGTGATTTGGGGGTTGATCAGGGAAGAAACAGCACCACAAAAGGCTGGTTTGTTTGGGTGCCTCTTGCACAGGGTTGGATGACAGGGGTTGCATGACAGCAAGAGGCTGTCCAGAGATGGCAGTTAGGAGCTGCCACACAGAAGGGGATACAATTAGGGGACTCTGGACAGGAAGGGAAAATAGAAAGGGGACTTACCTGTCCAGGTGACACCACTCAGTGCAAAGTGGGGAGCCTCTGGGTCAGAGGACTGGAAAAGGCAACAGTGGTTTGGGCCCTTCTACAGCTGTTGGATTTGTTTCCTCTACGGTTAGCAGATGTTGGGTGGATTTTCACAGGTCATGTAAAAAAAGTAGGCTCTAAATGGTTAAAAATAACATTTATTTTGACTATATTTAAAGAGATTAGATGTATGAGAATTTGAGTTGGTGCTACCAGGCTTTGGGCTAAGGTCCCTACCCTGCTGTGAAGAAGTAAATAGTATGGGAATCATTTTAGGCTAATACATAGGGCCATCTCTGGCCCATTGATGTAACAGGATCCTAGGGAGAAAAATACCTAAGAAATGGATGAAGATAATAGATCTTGGGGAAGCTTGCTGACGGTCAGCCAGTGAAGAAAAACCTGAAGTGTGGAGTTAGTGAAGTCAAAGGACAAAGAGATTCCAGAAGAGTGGAGGTTCAAGAGAGTGCAGTGCAACACAAAGAATAAATACTAATATAAGCAAGTCGGGATTGTGTGCACTGGCTGTGGTCATTGGTGTCCTGGGAAGAAGCAGTTTTGGGTGGGCCATACTTGAGGAACAAATGAGAGGACAGTAAATGTACCTTATTCTTCATTAGGAGAAGCTAGCCAGGAAAGAGAAGAAGCTAGAGAAGATGTTACTCGGGTAAGGGAGTTACTGTGAGAAAGAGATGAGCAATTTTGTTTTGGTTTTTATTTTAGTGATGAGCCAAGAGAAGTGATAGTTATTTTATTATTGTGTAACAAACCTCCCCCACACTTCAAGGAATACAACAACTCATAGGTTTTACGCTCATGGATTGAGTGAGTCCGTACCTCGAAAGAGCACAGTGGGATGGCTCATCTCTGTCCCATAGTGTTTAGGGCCTCAGCTGAGAAAACTCAGTGGGCTAGGTTGACTCAAAGCTCAGGGTTGAAAGAGCTGGATTGGAGGATCCACTGCCAAAATGAAGGACATGAAAATTAGGGAGTAAATACCCGATGGCCTTTTCTCCTCTCGAAAAGGAATACACTGAGACTGAGGGTGTGAGGTAGGAGGCTGGGAGAAAGGGATGAAATTTCAAAATAGGTTCTAAGTGGAGAGAAATTGGAAGTCACCCAAGCCCAAGAATTTCTGCGTTAATATATAAGGCTCGACTAATGTTTTGAATTTGTAGTTGCAGTAATGTGCACAGTTGAGTTTTCACCTACATACTTGCTAGTAGAGAATGGTAGCTAAACAATCTCATGAGCTCAGGGGAGTCATTTTATACCATAGCCCATCCTTGGATATTTGTCCTTCTTCTAGATCTATTTGTATCTGGGAAAGAAAAGCAATGGCTAGATCTTAAACAAAGGAATGAAGAGAGAGGACACTTACCGTGGCAAAGTGATACTTGGGAACAATTCATACCACCTCTGCCTGTGCCTGTTTGTGATACTATTTAGATATACAGAAGGAATCTTTCTCCTTTTTTGGGGGGAAATTATACTATCTTAGCTTTATGTCCTAAGCCAAGTCTGATCTATTGATACTGACTACCTGGAATGCTGTGTTGCAAAGGGATCTAACACCAAGCCTGAGATTGCAGGGAGTGGGAATTGGGGCAAAGTGAACAGTTAGAGATGTTTGTCACAGATGATGAAAAGTCCAGTGGGGTGATATTCATACTTGTCCTTCTCACCCACTCTTTCTACCCTGTCTGTTTGAAAGGAGACATGAAGGGATAGTAATAATGATTATTAAAAACAATAATAGTGACAATGGAAAAGCTCTATTCATGATACTGTGTAATAAATACTTGTTAAATTTTTCAATATAACATTATACTTTTGTTGAATACCTAGTGGGTATCTGACAATATGAGTCCTGAGAAAATGTTTGGATATTTACTAAATATTTTTAAGATCTCAATTGTCTAGAGTCTTATTCTGACAGGGTTTTTAAAATGTGCTGAAATATGTAGCCTATGTAACCAAATGAGAACTTTATTGAAGGGCATTCCTATTTTAAATCAAGAACAAATCCACAAATTTTATCTGGCATCTTCTACAGAAGGGAGATCATTGAATTGTTTGTGTACTTGTATACTAACATTTTAACTAAATTAATTGTCACTGCTTTCTGCTAGTTAAGTCTCTCAAAAGGACAACTGAATAAAATGGTTGTATTGATTATTTGATTGTACTGACTAATTTAATCAAAACTCTTTACCTACTATATTTTATTGGTTCTAAGGTGTGGACTTTTAAAAAAATTTTTGGAATACTCTAAGATTCATTTATAATTGATGATATGCCATTATTTTACTGAAAGCATTTTTTCTTTCTTGGTAGTCCATAAAATAATGTTGCATTTTACATTCATGGGCATCATAGATAAAAACAAATGAAGTAGGTGAGTCACAGAAGGAAAAATGTTATACAATCAATTCATAGAATATGAACTGATTCATCAACGTGCTTTATTGTAAGTTCTACCCTTGTGGAATTTGCCCCTTATGAATATCATCTACATTTTAGTTTTCACATGTAGTATTAATGTCTATCAAGATTCTTCTGAATGATAATTTATGATAATTTACCTGTGTCAGAGTCTAGTGGCATTTCAGAAACTTTTACCCTTGCAGCAGAAATTCATCAGGAAACCAATGAAGTAATTACAGTGTTTAAATTCTAGCAGCAAGCATAGTGACAGACTTTTATCTAGACAATTATTGAATCATGGAACTTAAAGGCTGGGCTAGACAGACCATAAAGATGTTCCATTTTTTAGACTATAAAACTAAGATCTACAAAGATTTAATGGGTAGATCCTATCCCTCAGTTTAAAAGACAGAGAAAGACTGTTGCCTGTGAGAACATGAGAATAAGTCATTAATTTAATTCTCCATGGTTTATAGATCAGTCTGTTATGAAACTTCAGAAAGTAATATACAGAATTCAAAAAATTTCTATCTCCATAGCAAAGGTGAGATTTTATCTAGTTTGAATCCCAAATAAGAGAATATGCAACTGACTGGTCACTTAAGAGTAGAAAACTAAATGATCTTGAAAATGAGAAAACTTTTTAACACATATTTTCTGAGGAATTCAGATTAATTATCTCAAATCTCCCATAAGATCACATTATATTAATAGTACAATCTTATGTTGTATTTGGTCATTGCACCATGCTTAATTTCTCTAGTTTACACATTGAAAAGAATCCTTAGAAAATGATATTCCTAGAAAATTATATAATTTTGCTACCAGGCATTTCAAAACTTCTCTGTGTCCAAAATTTGACATAGAAAAAAGTCTTTGAGAGCAATGAGTGGTATTTGATACTAATAACTCAAGAATGCAGCTTTAAAGATTTGCCTTAGGGGGAACACTTCATAAAAATTAAGTTAATAAAATGATTAAACATAATGGTCATAATAGTTCAGGCCTCCTTGGAGATGGGCCTTTATTAGCATTCTTGGAAAATACAGAAAGCAAAGTACCTGAGTCTAAGTTATATTCTCAAGTCCAAAATATTTGCTGATATAGCAAATGTTTTTACTTAAAACTATATTCTTATTAGAGAAATTATTTAAATTGTAATTCTTGCAGCAGGCTAAAAATGGCCAATTTGATGATCAAAACCATGGGGGAAAACTTCCTCCTAAGAACAGAATGTGACTTAGGGAATGAGTAAACTAGGGAATGAGTAGACAGAGGAGGAGGATAAACCTAAATGAGTGTGAATTATTGCTCTTTAAAAGAGTTGAAATTCCTAAATTGTGACTTATATTTTCAATTTTGGTTAAAATATAAATATATTTATATATATGGATGATATCAGTTAGGTTCTGTCATTTTACTCTGTTTAACCATAGTGGAATTTTTATATGTATATTTGTATCCATTATGCACTCACAGTACATTTATTACCTGATCATGATATTTTAATTCTTGATTATAATCATTTTCAAACTATATACAAAATGTCTACTGACATATTATAGAAATTTTTTCTGGAAAAAAGAGAGATTGTATACATCACTATCCATATAAATAAATGATCTTATATTGAGCTTTAAATATGTTTATTCAGCCTAACAATCAGAAAAAGAACACATTGTTTTAACAGTGGAAGGCAATTACTGTATATCTTGGATTTTTAATGTTTTTAATTTTTTTTTTTTTTAATATGGGATCTCACTATGTTACCCAGGCTGGTCTGGAACCCCTGACCTTAAGCAATCCTCTTGCCTCAGCCTCCCTTAATAGCTGGAACTACAGGCACCTGCCACTGCTCCTGACTATTATCTTGTTTTCAGTTTGAAGACAGGATGTGATCAGAATTGTTTTCTAATGAAACCTTTATGCATACTCTAGGCAGTGCTCTCTATTTTTAATAGAAAATCTTTTCATTTTTCAACACTTTGCTTTGAAAGAAGTTCTCATTTTCTGCACCAGTAAATAAATCACTGGTGTGCGTATGTACACAATTTTGACTTTTCAAACTAGAATAGAAGCATGTAAAACACCTGAGATCGGTGTGCCAGTAATCAGCCTGAATCATCATCGGGCACCACGATGGTTTGCCACCATCTCTGTACTCTGTGTACATTCGATTCTTTTCTTCATAATATTCAGTAGATTAAGCACCGAGGAAATTGCATTGACCCTTTTCTACTACCAGGGAAATGTTCCGTTCGTCGCACTCCTCTAAAAAGACTTGAAAAGCAGCTCAGGCTCTGGGAACAAATCTGACTCAGTGCATTTTTTTCTCTGGGGAAATTAAGGAGGGCTAAAAGGCCAGATAATCTCCTCTGAGATTCACTACTTTAACTTTTTTAAGGTCTTCTCTTTTTCGCCTATAAACAAAGGAAACTGAGGAAAACAACTTCTCGGCACCGGCCTGAGAAATACTTGAGAGTCACAAAAGACAGCAAAAACCGTATCAGGGACGTTACTGGGGTGAATTTCATGCTGCCCCTTCTCCTACGTAAGTAACTGACCACTCTCGGTCGGGCTGGCGCTCGCATTTTCGCGGGCACGACTGCGGCCACGAGGGGGCGCTGACCTGCAAACAAAGGAAACCGGTGGCACCGACTTCGCGAAGCCTGCTGAGACCGCGTCGCCTTCCCGAGTCGAGGACTGGGGGGACGAGCGCTTCTTTCCCCTGCGCGGTGCCTGTGCGTCTGCAGATGCGCGGTTCAGCCGCTTTTCCCTGCAGCCTCGCCGGGCGCCGCTCCCCGGGCGCACACCTAGGCGAGGTGTCGGGGGCGGGGGAGCCGCGGGCGCTGCTCGCGGGGCGCCGTCACGTGGTCCCTGGCTGAGGTGGAGTTCGGCTTTAAGGGGGCGTCTCTTCCCAGCTTCATCAATCTTTAAGATTTGAGCAGGAGGAATACCAGCAGGTCTTGCTTCCCCTCTCTGCTCCTTTCCATTCCCACCCTTCCCTCCTTAATAACCCGGAGCGAAAAAGACGAATGCAAAAGAGGGTAAGTTTCAAGTTTATGCCTCTTAAGAGACTTTTGAGAAATCTGTCAGGGATGAGGTGCAGGAGGCTACGGGGAGGGAAAGGATGCAAGCGCCCACGCTGGCTCCGGGAGCGGAGCGGGGCGCGCGGCCACCCTCGGTTCGGTCCCCAGCGCGCAGGTGGCGAGTTGCCCCAGCCGAGCGAGCGGACACCTCCTGGCCCTGCCCGGAGTGGGGGCCGGCTGTGCAGGGAGGGGGCACCCCACCCGGAGTGCGCGCTCCCCCACGCCCTGCTCCTGGGGGGTTCCTGGGTGGGGACCCAAGTTTTCCTCTCCTCTCATTCGCTTAAAAGGGACCAGGGGTCGGGAAGGTGCCCTTGTTGGTCTAAGCAGCACCTCGCGCATCTTCCGCGTTTTTCTGGAACAGGCTGGAGCAGCGGCCGCGCCGGAGTTTCCGCGGAGTAACCGGCTGGCAGGAGCCGGAGAAGGGTGGGTTCGGCGAGTCGTCCGTTGCCGCCCGTGTCCCGCGGCACGTGCGGGGCTGGGAGCAGGAGGAGGTGCGGGCGGGCCCCGGGGGCCGTGGACCCCAGCCACGCTCCCCACCCCTCACACCTGTGGGTTCCGCGCATCCCGGTGCGGACGAGCCGCTCCCCCTGTGCTGGGCCCTTCCAGTCTGTCGCTGCGCCCAGGTAGACACACTGGGCCCTTTCTCTTTCGGAGTTTCAGTCTTGGAACTCCTTAGCTCCGTCTTTTAGAACGGTGATGATGGAGCAAGGCTGGGTTTGGAGATTGGGGATCGACAGGAGGTGGAGGTGGCTTAGTAGGGTGTCCCTTTGGTCCCCAGGTAGACTGGAGAGATGAGAATGTTTTAAGGTCCGATGTTGGGCCAAGGAGAGAGAACTGACTTTGGGTTTGGGCCCTGCTTGTTTGCTTTTGGTTGGTTTGGATGTGTTTTGCCATCGGTAGAGATGTTCCTTGATAGGTGTGTGTGTGTGTGTAGTAGCGGGTCAGGAATAGGGGAAATTTCCAGCAGTTCACCTAGTTATACAATATGTAATAGGTGGGTGGGTAAGCGTGTCAGCGGGAATTTGAACACTTCCAGTTTCATTCTTTGGTAAGTCCTTGAGCACAGGAAAAACCTAGGGGGGGAGAAAAAAAGAGTGTGTTTCGACGTTTCACTATACACACACACACACACACACACACACACACACCTATGTACGTTGGAGTTGGAGCACTCACTGATTTGTCATGCCCGCCTGGATGCTGTGAGAAAGCTTAACTTGCAGGATGACACAGACAGACGCGCAAGTGCAGAGTTTGCTTGTCTCCGTCAGAACTGAAATAGAAAAACAGTAGCTGTCAGTCCCAAGACCCCTAGGCTGGTTCCCTGAGAAAGCAAGAGAGAAGCAGAAAGCTGTCTGGCTCAGTTCCCCACCCTTGACTCAAGACTGAATGCTTCTCAGCAGTTAATGCTTTATGAGTCTTTCCTCATTGTCTAAGGCAGCTGTCTGTTGAGCAAGCCCTCCCCCATGGGAAGTAACAGGGAATTATGTAACTCATTTAGATAAGCTAGCAGGAACTTCGTGAGGCTGTATGTAACAAGGCTGACATTTCTTTTCCAAAACAAATGAGGTGAACAGCCAGTCTTGAGTATTTGTAAAAAACTATCTGCAGCAGTTTATAACCAGAGAGCTGTATTTTCAGGTACTAACAGCACTGAGAACATCAAGCAGTGAAAAGCTAAACCATTCTAATTGGAAAGGAAGAAAAGGAAATTTCCTCCTGCAAGGAGGCTAATTTACCAACTGGTAATAAGAGTTTCTGTGGTGTCTCTATTTTGGCTGTAAATGTACATCACAGCTATCCTGAGATTTAACAGTTTTTAGCTTTTATAGTATCTATAGTTGCATAGTTTATTTTACAAATCTCTATGTGAATAGTAGGTATCAAATTGTTTTCTTTTGCAAGATAAGGTATGTAAATGCTTAGTACTGTTATTTTCTGACAGTTATTTCTTCAAATTATACTAAGGTAAACCGAAAATACACATTTTATCCAATGTAAAACTGTTTTACTCAGCTGGAATGACTACTGAATGTGTAGTTGGAAAAAGGGACTTGTAAACACTTAAAAAAAATGAAATTTACATTTTCCGTATAGCTAAGTTAACTTCTATTTAGTAGGCAAAATGCTGTTCCTCATAGGGCATGTCTATCAACTATAACTTCAAAGGTATCAGGATAGAGTTTCAGTTTGTTTAACTAAACTCATCTGCAAGAAAGCTGTCTTTGTAGCCCATACATTGCAATAATTTAATAAGTGTTTGCACGAATTCCTGTATGTATCAATTTTTGCCAAATTCATTCAATGGACATAAAATTTTATATTTTTTTCCTTTCCATGGCAAACACCTTGATCTCTGCCCCCATAATCTTTCACCTGGATTATTGTGCTAGCCTTCTAATGCATCTCCCTACTACTTCCCTTTCCCTTAAATATGTTGAAAACAGCAGCTAGAGTAGTAATTTTAAAACAAAAGTCATGTATATCTTCATACCTTTGCCAAAGACTGTCCAGCGACTTCCTGTCTCTCTCAGTAAAAAGCAAAAATTGTCCCATTAGAACAAGGCTCTACACAGTCACTGTCTGCTCTTCTTAGCTTTCCCAATTAATTTTCTACTAGTCTCTTGCTTATTTATACTACTTCTCATTGCTGTTTAGCACAACAGGCACAGTCCAGCCTTAGAGCTTTTAAATTTGCTCTTTCCGTATGGGAGGCAATCCCTGAGATACTTGTGTGGCTTTTCTATTCACTACTCTGAGGTCTTAATTCACATGCCATCTTCCCAGGCAGCCAGAGGCTTTCTTTCACCAGCCTGTCATAAATTGCAGCTCCCAACAATCCCAGTCCCTATTCTGAGCTTTATTTTTCTCCATACCCCTTATTATCATCTAGCATACTATATCTTTTACTAATTTATTTTTTCTTCTCTTTCTAGAACTAGCAACTCAGTGAAAAGGTCACATTCTGTCCAGTAAAATCATTCCTAACACAAAATAATTGTTAAATAAATATTTGTTGGATGAATGAATGTTCTTTCAGGAACAATTCCTTTTTTTACACACATTTTCTGCACTATACCTGGCGTAATAGAATTGATACTTGTGATTAACATATATTTTGCATGTAAAAGGACTATGATAGAATTGAACTATTGATATTAGGACTAATTTACATAAGAACCTACTATTCCACCCATATATCTACTATATCAGTCAACACATTTTTATTTTAAATCTAATCTTTTCAAGGTACTGTGAAATATACACAATGTCCACCAGGTATACACAATGTGTATACTTGTCCAAGGATACACAATGTTAAAAACATTATCTTAAAATTGAGAGGTGCCAATTAAGGATCCAAAAGGGTAAATGGCGCATTGAAAGTTGGGTAGAATTTGCATTGGTGGTGAGAAAACCAGAACACCCAGCAAGAGGAATGGCAGGGGTGGATTTGCAGAGGGCTCTATTTGGTAGCATCGGAATAGACTGGCTTGCCCAGAACAGAGTATTCACGTTGGAGTTATTAGAGCAAAGAGTGGAAGGGAGGCCTAATATAGAGTTCTTCAAGAGTCAGGCTGGGAAATGTACTCGGTAATCCATCCCTCATGAATGTCATACCAGGATCGTCATTCACCTGGTGGTACCTGGTGACAGGGAACCATGAGAAGCCGTAGGA